GCGAGTACAACACCTTGCCAACTGCTTCTGGAATCGTTGGAGGATGGAATATTTTTCTACTCTGCAAGGACGCAGGAAATGGCAACGTCTGAACCCTAACATCCAAGTAGGAGATCTCGTTCTTCTTAAGGACCAGCAAGCTGAAAGAGTCGAGTGGCCTATGGGACTTATTGTAAAGAGCGTTCCTAGTGATGACGGTAAGGTACGTAAGGTGGAGGTGAAAGTTTCAAGACAAGGGAGTGTAAAGACTTTCATCAGACCTATCACGGAACTTATTTTGCTCTTGCCGTTTGGAGACTGAACTTATTTGGGTATGCTGTTGGATCCTACTTGCGACTTCAAGAAGGAAGAACCTGGAACTTTAATTGACACATCTTGAAGCCTTATATTATAGTTGTTGTTGCATTATATGCATGTTCTCCATTATGTCTTTCAGGTTTTCAAGACATCAAAGCAAATTGCACTGTTGTTAATTGCATTTGCATAACTACCGTCATGAGTTAAATAGTGACATTTACAATGCCAGACGGGGAGTGTGCCGCCCCAATAGGGGCATAGAATATGAGATGCATAGCCTCAGTTAATATTAGCATTGTTATATAGGTTAGAATTTATATAGTGTGATTTGCCTAACTATTTTCTCATAGCTAAATAACTAGGACACATATACTCTGCACAGTACGCTAGAAAAGGCATCATTTTCTGACCGCACAATACTGAAACCATTTAATCTGCTGTTCCTATCATCTGCTGTAAGCCTGATGTTAAAAATAAAGCACCTCTTTTGGATGAAACGGTATTGACGAGTTCAGCTATCTGACAAGGATTGTCCGCAGTGAGTATATCTGCTTATACAGGCCAGGCATAGAGGTCTCAGCAAGGGATATATTGCTATCGCAACAATCGGAGTCAGAATAGTAGCAGAGTCTGGCATTATGGCATAGAGGTCTCACTGTTTGGAGTATCCATGGCATGTAAGAAACCAGGGGCTGGCTCAGCCCATGAGTCTCCATGTGTAATTTAGAATATTGCTGTTGGGTGTAATCTTAAGGTACTGCACACATTGTAAACAGGAGACTTTTTTATCTCTCTCCCCTCTTCCTGTATCATCCAAACTCAAATGGATAGCCTAAATGTAGTAATAGTAACTAGTAATAGTAATTTTTTCATTTTAATTGTAACCCTTCAAATTCAAGGCCTACAGTTCATGACTACAGATCTATTTTTTTTCCAGTGTCTTTATATATTTGTAGAACTCTTTTAAAATGTTGCAGTTTTCCTCCCAAGTTTTTCCATTTTATTTATTTTTTATTTCAGGGACAAACTTTTCCCAGCATTTGGTTTTGGCGCTCAGGTTCCTCCAAATTGGCAGGTAAGATGGAACTAGGCACAGGAAAGTAGCACGACATAATACATATGGGGTAATTCTTGTCTTCTTGTCATTGCTAATGTAGCACTCCTTGAATTAGGGGGATGCGGAATGACCCTCTAAGTATTGTTGCAAGCTAACATTTCCATTTCGGGGTCTGGTTCTTGGTGTACAGTGGGGTGAAGAATAAATTCAGCACCAGTCACTTCAGTTCTTTTTACCTTTTTATTGCTGAACTCTGTTCTAGGAGAGGGGGGTTAAAGATTGCAGGATACCCCCCCAAAATGTACAAAAATAGGACAGGTATTCAAAAGATGACAGGCTCTTTAATACCTCTTGGTAAATGCTGGACCTGTGAGAGCAGACAGAAAGGTCTATAACCATTTGCTGCTGCTAATTACAATTTCAGTCCTAAAGTGGATTTTTTTACAAAATTATATATAGATACATTTGGTTGTAATATCTAGTCCAATAAAAATCCTTGTCCCATTCTAAACCCTGCTGAAAGGGGAGTGTTGTCCCAAAACAAGCTGGCTGTTTATGTAAATTATGAAAAATTAAAGGCCCTTTTGCACTCTCTTTCACCTTTTTGGTTTGGTGCCCATTATTTCTGAACATTGAGTCTCTTCTGTTTAACCGTGTAGGAGCAGTTACTGTCTTAAGTTTTTGTGGATTTCTCTTTAGTAAATATGGCTCTGGACCCTTTGTTAGCTGCCGCATATACCTTGATTGAAGGTGATGAATGCTTCCTACAATGTCCAGCAGTAGCCTTCACCCAGCTTCAGCAATGCTGTTCAGCAAGAAGATACTTTGCAAGTCCAGCTCCCTCCCAGATGTCCACTCCAGCAGGTAGCTTAAGTTATTGGGCCAGAACCTACCCCGGGTGAGTCAAGGTCCAACTGGAGAGACACTGAAGATACCGATCCTCTCCAGGCAAAAGCACTGGTGGTACATAAAATTCTGGAAAGGTGTTCCAAATATTTATCGTCTCCCAAACCATACCACTGAACAAAATCCTCAGCGTGGGGAGGACAATCACTGAGTTGAGAATATGTATCTGACAAAACCAATCCCTAAGGCCCCATTCACACCTATGCGTATTGTAATATGCGCGTCTGTCGCGCGGTTTTTTTACCGCGATTCGCGGTAAAAAAGTCGCGCGATTCCAAAGGCTACTTGGCAGTATACAAATGGAAAACGCCCTACAAAACGGACCAATACGCAGCAAAAAACGCTCCGGGACCTTTTCATGCGTGGGCCGTTTTGCAGTGCGTTCAGGACGGGCGGAAATACGGACAGGTGGGAACGATACCATTGACTACAATGCTATTTATTTTTTTGACCGTTTTGTAGAGCGTTCATCGAGCGTAGGACTCGCTACAAAACGGTCAGGTGTGAATGGGGCCTAAGTACTGTAACATCCTTTGCAGTAACAGGCAGAAGCAGTCAACCTACTGAGCTTAGGGAAGATCAGCCAATCCAAGAAAAATGTTAAAAGATGTTCAGGTTTGACACAGCCAAGCAACAAACCTAATTTAATTAGGGACAGAGCAGCATAGTGCAGGGCCCCTACACTAAAACCAGTGAGTAGGACTGCTAATGTGTGTCTGATTAAGGCAGAATTTTTCACTGCCATAAAGATTACAGCATAACAGGAAGCAGACCACAATATACACTGGCCCATTGTGTACTTATCACACAGATTGTTAATACAATTATCTCTTTGCTTCATGGATTTACACAAGTTTATTATGTTTTTAGTTTAGCTTTGGATACACCCATATTTTGGGACCCCAGTTCTGGGTGAAGAGAAGGCAGGCTTTGGTTCAGTTTTGGCCTGTTGTGTGTCCAAGATGGCCACCTCCATCATGTCTGGAGCAGAATGTAGTTTTAAATGCAACCAATTTTTATATTTCTTTACAAATTGTATTTTTCATCCGTATGTGATGTTTTATTGGCATGGTGCTGTCACATATTTTCCACCTTCAGATATTTAAAGGGTAATTCCGTGTTTGTTATAAAACTGATATAATTGCTACACAACGTTTTGAAATTTAGTATGAATAAAAATGACCTTTTTGTAGTTCAACCTGCAGTCAGCTTTGGTTTGCTAAAACTAGAAATCATATTGTTCTTGTATGGGGACAGCCAATACGTTTTCTAGGAAGGAAACATGGAATTCATGTGTTTTTTTTTGTTTTTTTTTACTACAAATTTTAGCAGGTTGCTCTGCTAAATGAAGTTTGCTAAAATATTTGCAATATATGTGAATTCCCCAACAGAGGTTACAGTCTGGCTGTACAATCTCCTTTTAGAGCTATCAACTATGTAATGCAAGGACCTGCTTGATTTGGATACAAATTGATATGATAATTTAGGTACATCCTCATATTAAGTAGTTTTGATAAATCTAAAGGAGATTTTACAGTCAGATTGTATGGTGGATTACCTGATTAGGAGAGGATTGCTATTTTAATACCACAGCTCTTTGCTATCTTATAGAAGGCAATGAGCTGAGTTGTAAAAAAGATAAGGGGCCTGCATCAATGGGCTTTGTATTGGTTTAGATAAGCCAATGCAGCTTGTGTTTAACATCCATTTAAAACAACTTTGAAATCATTCTGAATTGATTGATGGGTGCATCTGACTTGCACTTGAACTCCTTCTGGCCTGCTTTTAAAGGAGAACTATGAGGTGAGTGCTTTTCACTCACCTCATAGTTCTAGCCGACATGTGACAATGAGACTGTCACAGGTCGGCTCAGTAGATCGGGAGGTGAGCGAACACATACCGGGTTCGCTCGCCTCTCGATTCCCCTCTCCCCGCTCCGATCTGCCAGCGCTGACTGGTGGAACAGACGGGGGAGGGGGCGGTTACAGCTGGCTCTGCCTCCTAGATAGGCAGAGCCAGCTTTCACTCACGCAGCTGGGCGGATCCCGTCATCTACGTCGGGATCCGCTACGGGGTCTCAGTATACCACGAGCTGTAAAACGCTGACCCCATAGTTCTCCTCTAAGTTGCATCAAGCTGCTTTTGCATTCCTATTGACTTACATGGGGAGTGAAGCAGTTCAGACCAAAAGCCCTTCAACAAAGACTTATTCTTTCCCCAGAGTATCTTTATTCCTAAACTAACATATATTTTACTTGCAGGTCTCTCATGAATTTGCCCTTAACTTCGACCCAGCTAATCCATACTGCCCAGGTAAGATGTCACCGGAGTCCCAATAAACTACTGAATTTCTCCTAGGCTTTTATCATGCTGACTGAATGAATGTGCCTTGTGCATATTATATATATAAAAGGAACAAGGGAACCCTATGTCAGTTTCTATAAAATGGTTTTATGTTATTCCAAGACTTGGCAATATCTCCCTTTAAAAAAATATTACATAGGGGCCTATCTAAACAATTCGCAGAGCTATTAAATTACATAACACAGTTCTGAATTTATTTGTTTCTTTTCACCTTTTAAAGAAGCCCTGAACTCTGGAATCTGTGCCCAAAAAAGGCAGGCAGAGGGCAAAGGACTATTCACCAGTATTGCTTGTGGTCCCCCTGCAGCTGACCTTTGTCCATTACTAGCTTACCATGTCATGTTCCCCACTGTGTCTTTGTGTGGAAGCGGCCATCTTGGTAAGAGGAGCAGAACTTTGCTTCCCCAACGTCAGAGCTTCCTCTGACAATGTACAGCTGTACCATAAGATTTCAAATGGGCAGCAATAAAAACTTAATAGAAGCATTTACTCTTGTCAAATCTGTTCAGAACCAACAAAAATTTGGCTGAAGCTGGGTTTAAAGTTTTTTTAATGTGCTACCTTATTTCTTTCCTCCACAGGAGTACAAGGTATTGTGGATGCATACCGCCAGGCTCTGCCGCAAGTCCGCCTGTACGGACCAACAAATTTCTCCCCCATTATCAATCATATTATCAGGTTTGCAGCAGCTGCAGCACAACAGAAGACGGCATCTGTGAGTATTCCTTGTATCAATAACACAAAGCAGTCAGTCGGTTATCTTCTTATGAAGGCTTTGTTTAGTCAAGCCAGTTAAGCAAATCTGTCATTGGGCTGTATGGGTAAGACTGCTGGTCTTGATAGCGTGATAATTATAGTGACCCTGTGGCTATAGAACAATGTTTAAACTAAAGCAAGACAGACAATGAAGACAGCACTCTCCTGCCCTGCTCGTGCTGGCAAACTCTTCACTAATGCTGAGAAATCTTTTACGGAAGTCTGAGGGGAAACCAACACTTCCAGGAGTGTCAGTCTCCTGGTTCTGCTGCAGCTGTACCCTGTAATGGGTGGAGGTCAGAGAAGACTGCAGGAGACCAACACTCCAGAAAGCATTGCATTAGTGTGGACTCCACTCTGATGCCGATTATATTTTCTGCTGGAGTCCAGTGGCATGGGCAGCAGTAACGTATGGCGAGTCATCTTTTACAGGGGAAACCTTCCAATGGGAACACTTGTTCGGGTGAAAACTGACTGAGTGGATTTTCCACGCTTTGGAGAGAGATCCTCTTACTTCCTGTGTCTACTGGACAGGAAGTAAAGGGGAATTCACATTGGCTTAGTGGTTCGCACTTCTGTGCTTGCATGGGTTTCCTCCAGGTACCCTAGTTTCCTCCCACACTCCAAAGACATGCTGGTAGGTTCATTGGCTCCGGTCTAAATTGGCCTTGGTATGTGTATGCCTGCGAAATTCAGAACTTAGACTGCAAACTCCATGAGGACAGGGACTGATGTGAATGCACAGTATGTAAAGCGCTTCAAAAATTGTCGGCACTATAGAAATACCTGAAATAAATATGTAGAATGGGACACGGATGAAACTTCCAGTGGTTTTAACCATTCTATACGTCTGTCCAAAATGTAAAAGTTTATTGGCTTTAGATATAAATTAATGCCATTTTAACCCTTGTTTTTTTTTTTCTCCTACATTTGCAGCAATACTTTGTGCTTCTCATCATCACCGATGGAGAGATCACAGATCTAAATGATACCAGGAATGCCATCGTCCAGGCCTCTAAACTTCCACTGTCTATTATCATTATTGGGGTAGGAAATGCTGACTTCAAGGCCATGGAATTCCTCGATGGGGACAACGGAGTTCTGAAGGCCTCCAGCGGGGAAGCAGCCTTAAGAGATATTGTGCAGTTTGTGCCATTCCGACAGTTTCAGAATGTAAGCCCAACTATGCTTTCTATTTTGTGTTTAGCAATGACCGCATAGTCAGTCCTGTTAAGAAGGTACCACTGAGAATACAGTGATTGAGGGCGAGCTAATAGAATTTCAGAAAATTGTATGTAAAATTGCCTTGAACCCTTCCTGGAAGTGCCAGAGGTTTAAGAAACCTGCAGTGCCCATTACTGAACCAAGGGAGAACAAAGTAACATATTATAGGCAGCATCAGAAAGCACTAATTTCATACATTTGTAATGGTCTGTTCAGCTTACAAAGTGTAGAGTGATGAAAAGGTCACTTTAACCTCCCTGGTGGTATTCCCAAGTCTGGCTCGGGGTGAATTTTCAATGCTAGGAGCGGTAAAACTCAGGGCAAATGAAATCTTAACCCTTGCATTAAGGGCTACCCTGCACTGCAAGGGTTAAATGCTAGCTTTGTCTAGAGAGCTAAAATAACAATAGCAATTTGCTCCTGATGTGAAAAATTACATTAAGGAGGAGTCTCATGTTAAAGAGTGTGTGAATGTGCTTCAAGTGAAAATTGGTTACGTGTCAACACAACAGCCTTGGCTGAATTTGTTCTGAAGGGTTTTCCAGGCTTTGCTCTTATTTATGTTTTATAAACATAATAATCTTCAAACCATTGAATTTAAAAAGGCGCATCACAATTGTTTCCCCTTATTATAGCATATGTCCAGCTACAGATAGGGGTAGGGTTAGAACCCCTCTTTTATTTCTATTTGGGGTTCTGTTAGAGAGACTTCCCCTCACTTCCTGTCCTGCTGAAACATTTTTGTTTTTAGCTTGAATACTTTAAGTCAGCCTTCTGCCTATCTCAGGTGTGCGTCAAAATTTTAGCACAGCGTTATACCTTTTCATGGGGCAAGCAGGCTTCTGATGAAAAGGGGGGACTCGGATGTCAAAAGATGATCTCAGGGGGGCTTCTTACAGTATGTGAAGAGGGTTCATAATATGAAGGGGAGCTATGATGTGAAGAGGAGCTTCTGATGTAAGGGGAGGGGGGCTTCTAATGTGAAAGGGGGCTCTGATGTGAAAGGTGGCGGCTCTGATGTGAAATGAGGTGGCTCTGATGTTATGAAGGGGTTCTGATGTAAAGGGGACACTAATTTGAAGGTGGGAGGACTCTGATGTGAACGGAGGGGGTTCTGATGTGAAAGGAGGGGGCTCTGATGCTATGAAGGGGCTCTGATATAAAGGGGGACACTAATTTGAAGGTGTGAAAGGGGAGCCCTATTTTTTTGTGCTTTTGCATGGAGTTCCCCTTAAAATCCATACCAGACCCCTGTCTGGGTCCATTATGGCTTTTGGAGGGGCCACACTACTTTTTTACATTTTAGACTGGGGTGCCTCCAAACATTTGCATAGTTTTGAAGGGTGCTTTCTGTCTTGGTTGCAGGAAGTGATTTCTAAACCTTTACAGCTGCCTGAGGAACGTGTGAGTGGAAATCCCACAGTGAGAATACCTGTTTTTGGTGCCACCTGCCATAGGTGGATTTTCCCTTCACTTATCTTTTTTGTTTCCAGGAGAGTAAATGAGGGGAACTCTCTAATGGACATACAGCAATAAAAAACTGAGATTCTAACCCTTCCCTACCTTATCCAGACTAGATAAAAAATATTTGGCTGCTGTTCTGCTTTAAATGAAATAAATATTTTTTAATTGTAGGAGTCAGGCAGACAGAGACACATTGCTGGTACTCTCTTGGGCACTCTTGCTAGCTTCTGGCCCTGTTCTTGCTGTCCACGAAGTTTACCTCCTCCTGCCACAACATGGGTTTGTAGATGGCATAGAAAATGTCTAGCTGTCTCGCAGTTGATTCTACTGTATACATTTTCTGTATGCTCTGTCTTCCAGGCACCCAGAGAAGCTCTCGCTCAAGCTGTTCTTGCCGAGGTTCCTAACCAGCTGGTCTCCTATTTCAAGCTGCTGGGACAAGCACCTGTCAACCCCCCACAACAGAAGACGGCATAGATAAAGAGCAACTCCCCTATATGTGGTTCTGCTACAACCAGAGGAACATAACCTGTAGTATGAACACATCTCCTCCTTATGCCACTCGTATAGAATTGACACAGCTCTTAATTCCAGTGTGTAGAGCAATGGACTAGTCCCCCTTTTCAATGGATGCTCCCAGTGAAAACAACCCTGACTGAGATCACAGAGGTCCACATTGCTAAGGCTATGTTCATGTATATATGTTGAAGTGTGGTGCATTAACAAGCTGCTTACCACATCTTTGGTGTGGTTTTCAGCAAACACAGGTTCCATAGGAATAAACTATAACATACTGCATGGAAAAACGCTGAGATGCGAAGGTAGCCTTAAGTATGAACGGTCACCAGACTATAGACATTCAAATATGTACATCTTCTTAAGAAGCTGTAACTAAGCTTTACAACTGGCACTTGCTGACCTCAGTAGCTGCAGACATTGTGGAGCAATTAATCTGCAAAGTTCATAAGAAAAGAGAAGCCTCTCAAGTCTGGTCTCAGCACTTGTGTCTGCACCTCCCCCCCCCCCCCC